TATTGAGCTCTCTCTACCAAAGAAACACAGATTTTACCAAAAAACTGTCACCAGTACAAGAGTTATTCTGCCTCAACTGCAAAAAACAGCATAGCTGAATTTTCTCCATCACTTTACTACTGTATAAAAATTACCTGGATTTCTGAATTACCAAATCTAACTGCAGTCAGTGCTTAAAATGTGGCTGGGTTCCAAAATTCAGCATCAAATTTTGTCCACTTGTGGTACTTGTTTTCTAAAATAAAAGCTATTTTTTTTAATTTTATGAGCAACGAAATACTAAGGAAAGGCAGAATATATAAAAATGCCCAGTGCATCTTACCTATGAGATTCCCTGATGTGACTTTATAATTCAATCACAATTCAATTCTTAGCATCACTGCAGAAAAAAAAAAATTAAGAGGAGACAGTGCACCTAACCATGGGGTGTGGCTTGTGGAGTTGTATCTGCCAATTGTTCACTATTGTGAGTAAACTAAAAACCCTACATAGGAGAGTGTCATTTTCTTTTTTCTACAAAATAAAAGCGAGGAAGTGGATTCCCTTAACGGAGAATCACAACTTGGGGACGAAAATAATTCCATCATATAAAATATTAGCTCTGTACCCTTGCTTCACTACGAAACTATGTGATTGGGCTGTTTTTGAGGAGGAAAAAAATCTGCCTCTGCCTATCATCATCCATTGATATTCATCTGGCTAGCGTCCTGTCAGTGTGTTAGAGAGTTGAGGGCTGTTTGGAAACTGAAATCGTATCCTGTGTGAGCAAGGAAGAGATAGTAAGGAGCCTGAGTGTGGCTTATCTCAACTGTTCTGTACTAAAGCTGCTTGGCACTGTGAAATTGAAACTCCTCTCCTTTGCTTGTGTTTTGCATTTGGAAGAGGTTTCTTTTCAGGTGGGGTGGGGGAGTAGAACTCCTTAGCATCAGAGCATGTTAATAATAATATACCAAATACTAATGCTCTGATGGACATTTCAAAAAATCCTTTCTTAGTAAGCACCTAGAAGCCAAGAGGAACATACGTGCCAAATTTCAAGTTTGTAGGTTTTACAGTTCTAGAGATTTTGTGATGATGCGTGAGTGGTATTTCACTTTTATATATTTTTTTTCCTACCAAAATTCAACTCCCTTCAATTACTGGCTATCAAATAATTGGAAGGGTTGATTTCCAGCAAGAAAAATGGCTTAAAGATATTTTATACCAACTGCTATGCAAAGAATGTTTCAATGCCTTCTAAAAAAAAATTTGTGATTAGTATCATAACATGTTAAATCATGAGAAAAGTATGACCACAACAGGATATAGCTCACATTAATCAATTAATTACATTGTATTGCTCCCAGAGAGACCTGTCCTAGCAGTTTACTTTTGGTCAGCAATCCAGAAGACTTCTCCACCCATTTATCACCATACTACTTGGGATTCTAAGATGGGATCTAATGCAGTTCAACCTCCTCTGTCTGCTTAGCTCTGTGAACAAGGCCCATAAATTCCTTCCCTGTATTTTTTCATGGCAGACACAAGAGAGGAGCCCTGCAGCTGCCCCCACTTCCTCTCAGAATTTCATTTAAAAAATCTCTTTAGAAATAAGGAAAATATTCTAAGTCCTTACTACTATGACAACCATTAATAAAAACACATTTACACAGCAGGATCAGAACAAGTTGAACCAGTTTCAAAGAAAGGCGCAGAAGAATGTAGTTTTTTATTTTTTTTTAAATAAAATACAAAATATTAAAATGTGTAATAACTCTGTCACAGCAAAAAGCTAATCCACTAATGGATTTTAGCTGTATTCAACATTAACACTGAAAGTGCATAACGTTTTTCACAGTATACATTTATATATGACCTATTGTCTCCTTTATTATTAACTCTATTTTTTATAAAATATGAGCCATAATTTTGAGTAAGGTTAAAGCCAGATAGAACTATTTAGGGGGAAATCTGAAAATAACGAAGCTTTTTTTGGTTTAGGTTGAAGAAAAGGAGTAACTGATTTTAGGTCAACAGTGAAGAAGCTAATCCATCCATAAATGAGCTTATAAAAAACTCATCAGTTTCAGCAAGTTGCTCCTATGGAGAAATGGAAATGTGTCTTGCTTCTCAAACTGTTTGTGATATTTCTAACATCGTTTACAGCAGGGGTCCCCAACCACTGGGCCGCGGACCGGTACCGGTCCGTGGATCATTTGGTACCAGGCCGCAAAGAAAATAAAAATAAAATAAAAATGGCGGCTTTCTTCGCCTTCGGTGAATGCTGCTGGGATCAGGGATCAAGGACACAAATGAAAGACGGGGAGGGAGGAAGCAACCAAAGCCTGTCCTGCTCTCCGGCTCAGCGGCTTTGGTTTCCTCCCACCTCGTTCCTCTCTCGATCACTCTCTCGCTCCTCCACCAACCCAGGAAGAAACTGCTTCAAAGAAGCCAGTAGGGTGGCTTTTCCTGTTGGCGCAGCTCCTCCGAAGCGCCCGTTCACCCCCACCCTGCCGCCCAAGGTTCAAACCAGTGCTCCGTTCTGCCTGCCTGCCTTTGTTTCTGGTTGTTTTGGAGTAGCTTTGACTGAGAATAATAACTATTCGCCTCTTTTACTCAGCCGAAGCTGCTCCGAAACAACCAGAAATGAAGGCAGGCAGGCAGAACGGAGCACTGGATTGAACTATGGGCGGAGGGGTGGGGGTGAACGGGTGCTTTGGAGGAGCTGCGCCAACAGGAAAAGCCACCCTGCCGGCTTCTTTGAAGCAGTTTCTTCCTGGGCTGGTGGAGGAGTGAGAGCACGACTGAGAGAGGAACGAGGCAGACATCTGAGGGATGAGGCTGAGGGAGGCAGGGCTGAGAGGCGGGGCTTCTCAGCCATCCTGCAGCGACTTGTCCTGAGCCGCGGAGACAGCTGCGGGCCACCGCCGCCCAGCGCTCAGTTTTGAAGGCGCTCCTCAGCCCGGCGCAGTTCCTCAATCTGCAGCTGAAACCCTCCGTTTTAAATGTCCCAATAGAAGAAAATATATGTCGCTCAGGGTTGCAATGAGGAGGCATTGGCGCTCCCTGAACTTGGTGGTTTGCTGGCAGATGTTTTATTACCCGACTAGGTAACAACATCAGATGTTATCTAGTCAGGTAATGAAACGTCTGCAAGCAAACCACCAAACTCGGACTCCTCCCCCTCCCCTACTCCTTGAAAAAGTGTCTCCCCCCCCCCCTGGTCCTTGAAAAAGTGTTTCTGCGTGAAACTGGTCCCTGGTACAAAAAAGGTTGGGGACCACTGTTTTACAGAACCGAAAATTCAATGCTGAATTAAGTGCCTTATTTACCAGTTTCTGTGGTCTTCTATAGCTACTTGCACCAACTCTGGCATATGGTCAGTATAGCAATCAGGTTAACAGGTTCTAACTTAACAGTTCCAATTAAAACATTCTAAAAAATATAGAGGTAATCCCCAGGGTTTAGCAAACATTTGAAATTATGTGAAAAGCGCCACCTAGCGTTTGCGAACAAGGCCCCAAACTACGAATCTTGTAGCACCATGGCAGTTGTTCGCCCTTACAAATAATTGCAGAGGCCCTGCTACATTTGCTTGGCATGTTGCCAGCCAAAATGGAGCTTCTGAAAGGAAATCCACCCCACAGAAGCCCCATTCGGTAGTCCATAGGCCTTGCACAGCCTATTGCTGGCTGAAATGGAGCTTCTGAGAGGAGGATCCACCCCTTTGAAGCCCCATTCGGCCCCCAACCCGTTGCAGGCCTCCGACACTCCATTCAGCCCTCCATGGGCCTCCCACAACCAACTGCAAGCTGAAATGGAGCTTCCGGGGGCATAGCCCCCCATGGCCTTCCCCTCCTGAAATACCCTCATGTGCACTTAACGAGCCTTGCATTTGATTAGCAAGTGTGTGGGTGAAAGGAGGGAGTGATCTCTTTCAAGGTATGATTCACTCCCATGAATCCTCGGGTTACGAATGGAATGGGCAGGCTCCATTACATTTGTAACTTGAGTGGCTTTCCTGCCAGCATACAGATTATCTGAAACTTATGGGAGTGAAATTTGAAGTTTCAAATTTATGAGACAGTAAGAGTATAAGGCTTATGAAGACCATGATTATACTATCTCCATCCTTTCAAATTAGCAACTCAAGTTAGCCAAATACACAAGTCCTTGTATCTGGACAATAAATTTCCAGATACACACCCAGAATTTTGTGCCTGTGTACAAAAACAAAACAAATCTGAGTATGTTTGAGTTGCTGTGTAATTGAATTGGGATAATGATTTAAAAATTAAAATTTAGAAGACTCAGTAATGAACTTGAACAGCAAACTGAATTGTCATGGCCCACAAGACTTTCTCCAAGTAACATTTAAAAGGTGAGTTCTTCGTCTCCAACCCTCCCTTTATTTTTATCATATGTTTAACATAACAACGGAAGGCTTTTGGATCATATAAACTTTTATCTGTTAAGCAAGTAACAAACATACCAAGATACTTGGAAATGACAGATGTAGCAAAAATTATTTATGAAACTGTTAAAATCAATGAACAATCGGCACCAATGAAATTGTACGCAACAAAACAAGTTCAATAAAGCAGGGGTCCCCAACCCCCCGTCCGTAGACCAGTATTGGCTTGTGGAGCGTTGAGTATCAGGTTATGTAAGCAGCGGGTGAGCACACAATGCTTCATTTGTACACGTGTGGAATTAGATTGTGTATGTAAAACCACGCCTTTGCCACCAACGCCACTGTCACTGCCACTGCCAGTCTGGAAAGGTTGGAGATTGTTGCACTAAAGGCTGTTTTTAAAATATTAAATGTTGACATCCTATGTTTAAAAAGATAATGTTGCAAGTGTTTATGTTACCACACAAGATTAACCTGAGCGTTTTCTTGTGCAATGTTTAAGAGTATCAAGCATACAACTTAAAAATCTCCATTTGTATTATACAATGTAAGCCCACCTGAGTTGGCAAAGAATAAGCATGAATTAAATTACAGACAATGTTTATAATTGTACCAACACTTTACATCTGTTTTATTTATAGTCAAGGCATAAGGCATGAACAGAAAAAAAAAACACACATCCCAATTTCTCAGCAAGTCATGGGTCCTTCATTTTTCCCGAAGATTTGTTACAGTTAAAATATTCTTCATTGCTCCCATACAGGGAACGTTGGAACATATTAATACAATTCTGCCATCCAGGTACAGTGCTTAATAAAACAGAATGAATACTTCACAAAACTATGCACTCCAGAGCAGAAATTACCATATTTTATTAGGCCAGGTCCCAAGAACTCATGGAAAGAAACCTACCAATTTTTGACTGGTATACTAAATCCAATGGAACAGTCCTATGAAAGCTTAGTTCTCCAATTTAATATAGTCTTCTTCACATAACTATAATTTAAATTGTAAAAAAAAAGTTTTTGTTTATTTAAAGTGTCAGTATGGGCAGACAACTGCATGACTTTTGGAAGCTACAAAATAAGGATTAGATCTGAGGCAGTTGAGCTGTGTTCTACATCACAGAAACATGTTAACTGTATCTTAGATTTGGTCAGGCAATCTTACATTCTCCAAGGCTTTGAGGGGATGGGGAAGGGAGGGGCAACGGCCGATAATGGCAATCATCTGTGAGAATTGTAGTCCTTGATAACTGAAAGAAACCAAGTTGTTTACTACAGTTCTGGATTAAATTTACCATTGAACAAAACCTTGCTAAAGGATTTGTTCAATGCTAAAACATTGTATTTGTGCAGAATTACCAGCAAAAAGAGCACACCGAAGTTTTACTCTTTCATAAATTCATTTCTAAGGCAACATCTATTATTTCAAATAACAGAAAATAAAAACAGCAGTCTTCTTCATTAGCACTTTTCCTGGAATGATTCATTTGTCTCCTTCTTTCACCACTGAAGATTACCATCACTTCAGCATATATATATATATATATCTGTGAGGCATAGTCAGACCATACAACTGCGGTCCTATTTAACTACAAATTGTCCGCCTTTTTCATCAGGATTCAGTTCAAAGCATGATTCTACTTCAGTCTGTCTTTTCAGATTTCTCTTTTTCTATCATGCAACGGCGAACAATGCTGTCAAAACCTGCTGTAAAAAACAGACTGGCCAAGCGAAAAATGCCTATGAGCATAACCTGTGAGAGAAAGAATCACATTTAATTCAATGTTTTATTTTTTTAAAATGCAAAAATCACCTACTTTATTATATGCAAAGGAAATATGCAATTAGACATCTTTTGCCTAATATGCATTTCACAATTCTTACGGATTAAATCAGGTGTAGAGAAATGAAAGTCCAAGAGCTTAATTTAAATCCCCAAAAGATTATATCAAATAATCCCTATATGTCCCTGCATGACTCTTTCACTTATTGCCTTTGTTCTCTTGTTTGGATAAAAATACTTGGCTAACGTACTTGGTTCTGTCCTGTACTTGTTAGTTTATGCAGCAGGACACTGGGATGGATGGCACAATTCTTAAGTGGAGAGGAGAAACCTTAGCCTACCAGACCAAATATTCTACTTTCTTGAATTGAGTGATGGTGTTGCTATTAAAAAAAAAAAACCTCAACTACGGATGAGTACATATTTTATAAATATGAATTTAATTCAATCAAGAATAAATGGTGTGCCTTATCTTTCACTGTAAGCTATGAATTACTACTTGAAAAGGAAGAAAGATTCAAATTAGAGAAAAGCAAAAGGAAGTTTCATGGAACTTTATGAAAAAGATCAACCCTAACCCTATAAATACTGGATTTACCCCATCATTAACTTCGACCATTACAAAGCATCACAATAATTCCAAAACAATGTTTCTATCTTGATTTTTGTTTCTTACCGACTCTAGGAGTTCAACGAAGGAAGAAACTGGGGCCATTCCACTAGTCAATATTGTCAGCATGTGACCAATAGCACCAGCAGAACTAGTAAATTTTCCTTGCTGTGGGAAATCATAAAACCAAACAAAACACCAATAGATTATCAAAACAATTCCATCAAAATGATTTATTTTTAAAAAGACTTCAAACAATATAGTGTTAATTTCATGTGAACAACTACGTATTACCTTTATGGGAGCATTTCTATAAAGTAAAATGGTATTGTGTAAACATAATCAAGGAAAGTGGATTTATCAGAATAAGCAATTAAGAATGAAGTAAAAATGGAAAGTCTGTTAACTGTAAACTACTATAAAACATGGAAGAACGAACTTTGGGTGAAAAATAAAATAAAATATATACAACAAATAATGCCGCCCCAACTTGATTCTTCTTTTTAAATTTGTATATATCCATTTTATATATCCATTTTGATACCCTTTGGAACAGAGTTTTTTAATTAACAATGTAAAGTGCTACATTTCTGATGCTATTCAATATTATAGTATTAAAATCTTTAATTTTGATACTAAGAGAGAAAAGTTACTATGTATGGAATCAATTTTCTGAAAAGTATAATTGTTTTATTTTTCTCCAACTAATAATCCACCCATGTTTGCTTCTCAACCAGGAAAAATGCAGTATTTTACTTACAACAGCATCCTTAACAATAATTTTGGCAACATAGTCAGGTTGGCAGATTGATGACGCTTCTGAAATAAGCTTGGTTTCTAACACCTTAAATAAAAATACAAAGATCATATGTATATAAAAGATAAATGTATTGACAAATCTAGCCATAAAAAATACCCATCTGAAATCTTTCTGCTAAATAAAACAGATGCATCAAGAATGATACAACAATCTTAAGCCCTAAAATATATTATTTGTTTTTTGTTGATCCTGAGAGTAAAACTAAAAATAATGAAGTGTTTTATAATGCCCACTGACTCAGCAAGCTTTTTATTTCTTTTTTTAAAAGAACTTTTATGTTTGATGATATTTTATTAAATATTACAATTAAAACATAAACTAATATAACTTAAAAAAAATAAAATACACAAAAAAGAAATTACAGAAAAAGAAAAATAGAAAAAAACAGCTGGTATATATGTGTATGTATGTAAGTCTCTTTTGTAAATGCAATATAGAAAAGTTAATCTATGTCACTCTTTGGTTTATTACTTGTATATTCTGATTGATTGTTAAGACATCAACTGGTTTCATTTGTAAATCCAGTGTAACATTTTTTTGCATATCACTCTTGTGGTCCGATATTTTAAAAAACACATTTGAATCTCAATCTTGCACAATAAAACCTGTTCCTCTTCTGTAACATTTTTAAATTCCGTTTTTATGGTAGAAGACAATCTTAAAAGTTATGAGCGCACTGTTTCCAAATATCCTTGAATTCTTCCAAAGTTAAAAGTATTTTGCTTCAATCTGTTTCTGGATTTCTTCTTCTTTTAATTATTAATTTTAGTTGGTTTTTTAAATTCCCTTTAGACTCCAACCTTCAAAATCTTTTCTTTTTTAATCAACAGCATTTTCCCATGCGGAAGATTTCTTATACCTAACTTCAAAATCTTCATTTGTTTATAGAATTGTAAACAATCCACAGGAAGAATGCTTTTCAAAACCTTATTTCAAATCCATTTGGATCCCTAGTCTGTTTGTAACTTTCCAAATTCTAATCACCCCTTTGTTATTTATTCCGAATTTTTTTCTCACTCCTTAAGCTTGTATTTAATTAATTTTATTATTTTTTTGCTAAGGATTCATGGAAATGTACCTGGTGCTTTAAAACCTCAATCCCAATAGCTGAAAAGCAGTTAACAAGCAATTTCTGAAAGTGATTAGTATGTGGAAGTGTGTGAACCTAGTGTCCTTTCCAAGGCACCAAACATGGTTTGAGGAAAAAGATGAGTCATCTCCAATAGCTCTAAATCCTCTTGAGCAGATGTCCCCAACCCCTGGTCTGTGGACTGGCATCAGTCTGCAGCATGCCAGAAACTGGGCCGGGCAAACAAGCGAAGCCCTATCCGCTGGATGCAGGCATCACGTAAAACCACGACCCCCTCCGGTCCGTGGAAAAGCCCCTCTCCATGGAATTGGTCCCTGGTGCCCAAAAGGTTGGGGGCCATTGCTATAGAGATAGCAAGACAGTTGAAGAAACAAGAAACAACTGTATGGAACATTTGTGGCTGATTGCAAGTTCTTGATCAGAGGAATTACAGGTAGTCCTTGATTTACAGTATGACTGTAATAGAGTCTGGCCTTTACGGTCATTAGTCATGAAAATTGTAAAATGAGTTACCCATGTGATGGACTGATTTCACAATCTTTTTGTGCAGCAGTCATTAAGCAAAATACCATGGTTGTTAAGCAAGCCCACTGTTTGCTATTGTCTCCTGTAGATGATGGTTCCTTCACGTCTTCCTCAGAGGCCTTGAGGGAGTAAGACAGCATTCCCGGCACATCCGGTAGTGCAGACCCTGAACTGCCGACAGAACATGCCTCGGCTGGGGAGAGCTCGCAAGCCAATGAGGAAGAGGAGGAGCTACCGGCCTTAGTAGATGCTGGAATATACAGGACAGAGAGGCGGAGATCTGCCAGATTGATGGGGGAAAGGCCCTGCTCCTCTTAATGGGCTACACTGGGAGGGGCTATTTAGCACAGCCGGCAGAGGGAAGCATTGCTGGAAGCAATATGCATGGGGCGTGGTGAGTTGATTGGTTGTGTTTCTGGAACCCTGCAGCTCATGGATGTAATTCAGTTGTGGAGAGTGTTTCTATTTCAAACAGATGGTTATCTGTTGGGTGGACTAACTGGCCATTGCCTGAAAGGTTAGTGTGGAGCTTGTTCATGACTGGCTTCGTTGAAAACAACCTCATGAACTCCTGGCTTGGACAATTCCCATGATTTCTCCTTGCAAGCCCTGAATCTGGACCACCAGACTTGTTGACAAACCTCATGGAGGCCCCGGACCTTGGAGGAGTTTTGGGCTATTTCTTTTTGGAACCTACCCAGGCAAAACCTTTATTTCCAAGATTGTTTTAGGTTTGGATGTAAGTTTGATTTGCTCTTGGTTATCTACTTGGTTGAGAGCCAATTACTGTGCTAAGCTTGCAGCTGGAGGTTAACTGAAAACCTGAAGTTGGGGGAACAGACAGAATAAAGCTCCGCACACCAAATCTGACTCTGTGGGTGAGTGAGGGCAGCAGAGCTATGGGGCATTTTTACTGAAATTGGAAGCAAATAGTACTTTTGGGCAAAAACATCTGCAAATGGCTGTAAGTGTGAGCTGGTTGCCAAATGTCCAAATGCAGTAATGGGACTGCGGAAATGGGGAGGGGGAGATCCACTGTAACATTTAATATTCACTAAGTGAGCAGTAATAACTGGAGGACTCCTTATATAAAAAGCCAGTCTACTTGCCAGCTCTTCATTCCACTATAATCATTGACTCTCCTGTTCTCCATTTCTTTCCTGAAAGTCCCATGCAGTGAACTTTCAAAACTCAGCAGAACTCAAGTTGTCCTCTCCCTTTTCATGAAAAGCAGTTTGCATTAACTTTCCTTATGCCCATAGAAAACTCCCTCTCATTTAATTAAAGTTGACTGTGGTTTTCTTTGCAATGTAAATAGAATTTGGCGTGCTGTAATAACACCCACTTCAGTTTTCTTCTTACAGATCCTATCACACACATTTCAAAAGTTATGTAAGTTAGGATCTCGGTTGCCAAACAGAAATCAGAGTAACTCAGAGATGAGGTAGAGAATGAGCCAGACACATGATCGTGCTTCAAGTCTTGAAAAGCACAATCTATTATATAACTGGATACTTGAACATGCATGTACATGCATTCACACGCACACAGATCTGTGCTCAGCTTCCAGTGTAGAAGTGTAAGATGGAGGGAGGGAACAGAAATAGCAATCGTGGGCAGCTGGATTGTGAAGGAAAAAAAAATCGATTCCCCCCACCCCTTCCCCCTTTATTTCCAATATAACTGCTTGGAGACTAATGGAATATGGCAGTATATACATAGTGCTAGCAAATAAATCTAAATAAGAAAATGTATGGAACTTCAAAAACTGCATCTCCCCTTCAAATTCTTAAACCTATCTTACTTTTTAGCAGACCTGAAAGAAAGAAAAGTGGAAGAGTGAGAGGAGTTCAAGACATATACCGTAGCTAACCAGGCAGGTTAGACTGTTTCTTTAAATGTTTCATTCTCAAAAGGCGTTTTGTCAGTTTGCAGTTGGACGCACCAATCACCATCCAAGTGAACAAAGTGCCTGCATACTATGAAGCAGCTACTGTGAGAAGCAATAGGATGGGCTGCAAGCAAGAAAGCTAGTAAGAGCTAAGGTGCTGATAAAAATGTTGGTTGATTAGCCCTTCAGAATGATGGAGGAAGCTGGATTCTCAGGCCTTCTCTTTCTGGGGGCCTTATTCCAATCCCCTGCATTCCATCTTTAGCAGGCAGAACATGCCTCCTGGATACAGGCAGTCATCAACGTATGACCACAGTTGAGTCTAAAATTGTTGCTGCTAAGCGAGACATTTGTTAAGTGAGTTTTACCCCATTTTACAATCTTTCTTGTTACAAAAGGTGAAGACATGACCCCGGGACAATGCAACCGTCATGAGTCAGTTGTCAAATGTCTGAATTGTGGTCAGGCGACCACAGGGATGCTATAATGGTGGTAAATGTGAAAAATGGTCCTAACTCACTTTTTCTCAATGCCGTTGTAGATTTGAATAGTCACCAGATGAACTGTTTAAGCCAAGGACTACTTGCATTGAAGCACAGGTAGTCCTTGACTTACAACAGTTCATTCAGTGACCATTCAAAGTTACAATGGCTCTGAAGAAAGTGTCTTATGACCATTTCTCACACTTAGGACCACTGTAGCATCCCCATGGTCACGGGATTTACATTCAAATGCTTGGCAACTGACTCACCTTTATGATGGTGACATCAATGTCCTGATGTCATGGATCAACCTCTGCAGTCTTCCTGCAAATAAAGTCAATGGGAAACCAGATTGACTTAACAACCATGTTATTAGTTTAACAACTGCAAGGATTCAGTTCACAAATGTGACAAGAAAAGTCCCAACATGGGGAAAAATCCACTTAACAAATTTTTCACTTAGGAACAAAAATTTTGGGCTTAATTTTGCTTGTTAAGTCAAGGACAACCTGCATATAGAAGCAAAATACTATATCCCACTAATCTGAACTTTCTTACCCTACACCAACTATATTGTTACTGCAGCATGATTAGATATTGCAAGCATGATAGGTTTGGCTAGGCTCAATATGTTAAAAAATAATCTACCTGTGTACATGCGTCATATGAAATCAATAAAGAGCAGTGTTGAGGCTACAATGTGTTGAGGCTACAATATTGTGAGGCAATCCACTTAAACTCAGAAAGCTGGCCTGACTGTGGTCTCGTTTCCACTGGGTGGAGTGGGGGATACTGAGGAGACATTTACTGCCTTAGTACTTCCCTTTGCTGCAGAGCTTGGATGCAGAAAGTGCTTCTTGTCCTTCCGTTTCATTTTGTTATTGTTTTTCCTTTCCCTCATTTGTGTAGCTCTGGGAGAAGAGAGAATGATATGCCTGCGCTAGAAGTCTCTGCTAGAAATCTTTGTAGGTCATCATCACTTGATTAGCAATCTCTATTCACTGGATGCAATACTGTTGAAGACCATTACAACATATTTTTACTTGAAGTCAAAAGAGTCATCAAACTATATGTACCAATAACAACTCCCAAAACCAGAAAAAAAACAGATTACCCATAACAATAAGGAAGCTTCAATTCAAAAAAAGATCACTTTGGCGGAAAAACAAATCTGGTCACATTGCCAACTTCAAAAGCTAACACAAAAATTTATGCCACCAGATAAAGACTGAATGCACCAATTATCACCTTAAACAAGAGAAAAACCTTCTATGCACCAATTCTACCCGTGCTTTCTACAATTTTATAAACAACAAGCTAAAAGACTCAAGATCCATCCCACCCCTGAAAAGACCTAATGGTAAAGACTACAACAACGACACCATTAAATCCAACCTCTTTAACACATTCTTTGGCTCAGTATTTGTAAACAGCAATGCATCATGCCCAGTATTTCCTAGTCGAACCACAGACAACTACAATGATCTAATACATATCGATTTTACAGAAGACAATGTTGAAAAAGCACTACACAATCTAAAACCATCTCTATCTATTGGACCAGATGGAATATGTGCCTACTTCTTAAAAAAGCTATCCACTGCCATAGCCAAACCTTTAAGCATAATCTTTGAAAAATCTTTCAGGACCAGCTCCTTGCCAAACCTATGGTCACAAGCCACGGTCATCCCCATCTTCAAAAAGGGAGACCCCAGCCTAGTTGAAAATTACAGACCAATTCCCTCATGCTGCGTCACCTGTAAAGCCATGGAATCAATTATTAACCAATCCATTATCCTCCACTTTTAGAGACAAACTCTCTAAAATTACTCTCTAATAAACAATTTGGTTTCAGAAAAAACTATCCTGTAATCTGCAACTCTTACACTGTAAAAACATATGGACTACACAACTCGATCAGGGCAAAGCAATAGATACATAGACTTCTGTAAAGCCTTCAATTCAGTGGTACACGACAAACTACTATTAAAACTAAAATCTTACGGTATCTCTGGACAACTGCATAACTGGATAGAAGCATTTCTGTCAAACAGATAACAAATGGTCAAAATTGGGAGCGTCTTATCAAATTCTGTACGTGTCAACAGTGGTGTCCCCCAAGGCAGTGTTTTAGGACCAACTCTCTTCATACTCCACATAAATGACCTCTATGATCATATTAAGAGAACTGCTTTCTCTTCCCTGATGATGTAAAGCTATTCAACACCACAGACAATACTGCTACCCTTCAAAAAGACCTTGATTATGTATCAGAATGGTCAAACAAATGGCAACTTCAAATCTCAACAAATACATGCCCTGTCTTACATATTGGCAAAAAAAAATCAGAAAATAAAATACAAGCTGAATAGTCAAGACCTTGTTGATGATCCAAACTCCATCAAGGACCTTGGAATACTCATCTCTAATGATTTAAGTGCTAGAGCCCACTGTAACTACATAGCCAAAAAGGCATTAAGAGTTGTTAACCTAATCCTACATAGCTTTTTCTCTGGTAATATCACACTACTAACTAGGGCATACAAAATATTTGCTAGACCAATGCTCGAATATAGCTCATCAGTCTGGAACCCACTTCACATATCTGATATTAACATAGTTGAGAAAGTCCAGAAATATTTCACAAGAAGAGTTCTCCACTCCTCTACTCGTTGCAGAATACCTTATGCCACCAGACTTGAAATTCTAGACCTAGAAAACCTAGAACTACGCTGTCTTCGGTCCTATCTTAGTATAGTCTATAAAATCATACATTGCAATGTCCTACCTGTCAATGAATATTTCAGCTTCAACCATAACAACCATAACAAGAGCACACAATAGATACAAACTCAAGGTTAACCGCACCAAACTTGATTGCAGGAAATATGACTTCAGCAACAGAGTGGTCAATGTCTGGAATACTGGACCTGACTCTGTGGTTTCTTTCCCAAACCCCAAAAACTTTAACCTCAGACTGTCTACTATTGACCTCACCTCTTTCCTAAGATGTCTGTAGGGGACGTGCATAAGTGCATCAACGTGCCTACCATCCTTGTCCTATTATTTCTTTCATTTTTCTTATATGTATTCATTTCATATATTCATAACTATGTTTATCCTTATAATTATTATCTTGTAAGCGATTGACAAAACAAATAAATAAAATAAAAATAGTTTCCCTTTTTTAAAAAATGTAAGTTTTATTCATTTTTAAATTTGCTTCACTTTTCTGTAAGTTTTTGTTGCTCTTAAATATGGCTATAGTGGCTTCTGATTTTGTGATTATTATATATTATCTTCAGTTTTAGTTTTTCTTATCTAAATTTATTTTTTAAAATAATACGAAGCTTCAATTAGAATATTGTTTATAACTAAATACAATCATATATTTTCTTTTTAAAAATACATAGGCTTTTGTAAATCAAGAATGTTAAAGGGTCAAGAATTAGATATAGAAGAAATATTTTTTTTACAAAACTTCTAAAAGGTAGGATTTTTTTTTTTTTTGCAAGAAACTCATTTTTTCTGATGAAAAATATTTTGGGTTAGATTTTGGAACAGAGATACACATTCAAATTCATGGTAGGACAGATACTTGCAGTTATTATACAGTTGTGGTACTAATAATGGGGAAAATTGGAATGTTCACTGTCTAATTAGAGATAAACCCAAGATTTAATATAATCATTTTGCAAATGTTTTTACTTGCAAGTAAACCAAATACCTGTGGATACAGGATTTTACTTTTGTTGTAGATCAGAATCAAATAAATACTGTGGTCAACGTTGTGTACATAATAAGAGTTGTTATGAAACATAAAATGAGTTTGGATGAAACATGTTGATGTGTATATCTGGAATTTGATTGAAAGAAACTAAGAAGTTACCTTGTTCTGACATTCTTCTGCAAAGCCAGGTGTGTCTGTATCTGGAGGATAGGCAATGGTCACATATATATTATATGGCTTTACCTGTTGAGAAAAACACTCAGTTTATGTTATAGTTGTCTGAGGGTTCCATGCTAATTAATCTTACCTAAAAATAGACGATGAGATGCAAGAAAAGGCATAACTTGCCCTATAGTTGCCAAGTTATACTCCATAAGTACTGCTCAGCCTGCACTCTGTATAACTATTTCATAATTTATTCTAATAGATATTTGTTGTTACCAATTAAATCAAGATGCAAGTAAGATATATTACTGGGGCTATATAACATATAAATCCCAGTAAAATCTGGGATATTTACTGCAAGTTACAAAATAAAACAGTAAAACTATGAACTTAAGAGTTGAACATGAACTATAATTTCAACCTTCCAATGTTCTGCTTGTGTTTTTTAAAGATGTCAAATTGTATTATTTTATCATAAGAAGTGATGCTGAGTTATGAGGATATAGTTATTCATTTATATGCTACAAAAAGGGAAAAAAAACTTACTTTTGAACCTGGACATATCTATTTGAATACATCTACACAACACAGAAAGTTTATTTTCATGCCATTAACAACAATTACTTTGGAAAAGTATCATTATTCTGTTGCCAGACTGATACAACTACCATTGCCATAGAATGCATAGAATGCAAGAGATGTAATTTATCAATATGGTGTTAAATGAATTACATGGTATTTGAGAAATATTTAATAAATAGGAGAGTTGCTGACTTTGTAAAGATCAGAGAGGGGCTTAGAGAGAACCACAGAGCACTAAAAAGCAGTATACAAGTCTAAGTGCTACTGCTATAACAATTTAGGACTATTATCTTTAAGTACCATAGATATTGGTGGTGAAAGATAATCATACCTCCATAAGTAAAGATTCAGCTAATCCTCTAAGAGCATATTTTGTTGCAGAATAAGCTGAATATCCATAAACACCAACTTGTCCAGCCTGAGATGAGACAAACACAATCCTCCCCTTTCTTCTCTCCTTCATTTTACCAACCACCGCACGAGTTGGGTAAACACTACCCAGATAGTTGATAGCCATTAATTGCTGTAGATAAACATACATTAGTGTCAGCTGCTTTCATAACAAAATAAACACAGGTTGCATTAATGTATAGGTAGATTAAAACAGGTATGGTGCTAGCCTGTAACTTCACATTTAGGTTTTAGCAAATTTAATCCAAATTACATAGTAGCATAATCCAATGCAAAACCTATAATAAAAAACTTACAAAATATTGCTCCATGCAATGTGCTGAGTTTATAAACTTATAAAATACTCCATGGGGTGTGTTGCCCTCAGTTCTATAGCCACTTTGATATCAAATGTGATATATGTTCTTGGGTTTTCTGCCAAGAGGAAGAAGCTTTCAAGAAAGCACTTGAAAGTATAGCTCTGGAAAGCCACTATTAGTCAGTTTCCCATGTTTATTAGTACAGATATAAGCAACCTAACTTCATTCCTAACAATAGGTATTTCATTACCAATTGAAGCAATGAGAAACTACTATAAAACTATTCAGTATCTACCTGGCCTCCTCTTCTAAAAATGACACTGTTATATATTCTCTTAATTAATACCCCACACGTCCACAAAACATTTTCAACAATTGGTTCCGTGTTGCAACACTTTACACATAAAAGTATTCAAGAATATTTATTAGGTTATAATGTAAGTAGGAAAGATTCAATATAAGTAGTAACAATAGAACAAATCTCAGGTATACTTTATATCAGGCGTGTCCAACCTTTTGATTTGCCGAGGCTGTACAGAGTAAAGAGGAATTGTCTTGGGCCAGATAGAAAAATATACCATATAGTTCAGGGTTCCCCAACCCCAGGGCGTGGCCCACTACCTGGCCTTGAGTCTTATGGAACCACGCCACAGAAATGATGGGCGACCACACGTGCATGCACATCCCCACCTGCACAAGCAGTGGGCAACCGCACGTGTATCACCACCTGCGTTAGTGTATCATGCCCCTATCAGAATCTGATTCAGAGGGGGAGACCGAGCAGCTGACAGGGAGTTGGAGTGTCACTCCACTGGCTGTGAAAGACACTGGGGAAGGGCAAAGGCCGGCTGGGCAAAGCAGGGGAGAGGTAAAGCAAGGAAGAGGGAATTCAGAGGAAGATCCAGGCCCATCCCCTCTTCATCCTAGGGCACGCAGGGAGGAACGGAGAAGGGAGCAATATGAGTTGCATGGCTTATGGGGGAGGAAAGGGCCCTGATTCCCTTCTATAGCTGCAGCTGAGAATGTCCTGTTTAAAAAGGGAAGTTGCGCATAGCAAAGTTGTTGGGAGCAAATTGTGAATTATCTGGTATCGAGACTTATCTGGGTTCCTGGCATTTTCCCAACTCTGTGTGTTTTGCTAGCCTTTCAAGTCTGCAATTCCTTCTCCTGCCCAGTCAAGTTAATTACTGTAGCGTGGTTTGTGTGGATTTTTATTTACAGTTTGTATGTACTTTGTTTTTGGACTGAATTTCCTCCACTTCAAGACTGTTCTTGGGAGAGTTTTTTCTCTAGCCGAAGGTAACCTGGACATTAGGAGCAACATTGGAGGTACTAAAGGGACTTTTCTTACTTATGTGACTGTGTTGCCTTTGTGCCATGCCTTGGGTTATCACACAGTGGGTGACCGTGTGCACATCCCCGCTCCCATGAGCAACCATGCGCGTGCCTGCTGCTCACACAAATGGAGCTGCATGCGCATGGGACCATCCTCTCTCTCCCTCTCCCGTCAGACTGCAAAGCCAAAAAGGTTGGAGAACTCTGATATAGTTAACGTATATAAATGCACAACATCATGTTAAAAGTTTACAATTGTATAGGGCTAATGTATACTAGCTAATAATCCAGGGCCACATGCTATCCTCCACAGGCCACAGTTGGATATGCCTGCTTTATATAGATTAACATTCAATGTTTTATTTTGTATAATTTTAGTACAGATGCATTTATATAAGTTGTCCTTTAAAAGTTTTAATTTTTAGTAACTTCACTTAGACATAAGATATAAATAATCAATCTAATGCAACAGAAAAGGATTTATTTAAGACTTAAGCTAGGACTGCTTACCTCAAACCTATGGATATCGATTTCTTCAAACCTTCCAGTTATTGATGTTCCAGCACAATTAACAAGCATGTCAACAGGACCCAACCTTTCTTGAGCCTAAGAGATATTGGTGTCACAAATTATATGCTACTATTAGAATAGAATATCTCTATCATAACATAAAAATGAGCTTTATAAAAGCCAGCAGTTCCCTTACTTGTTTAAGCGACTTCTCCACATCTGCATAACCTTTAGAAACATCAAGAGAAATAGAACATACAACCTATATGAGAAAAAAAATGAAGAATTATATAACCTCATTCAACTGAATGTAATGTTGAATGTAATGGTTGATTTCATAATTTACAACCATTTTAAATTACTATTTTATTTGTTTTGAATTATTTCTACCTTCCCAAATGCTGTATTATGTAAGAATTTATAGAATTATTACTTGCATAAAAAAGCTTATAAAATATATATTTACCCTTTGTTACTATATATAAAATATGACTTTAAACAGTATGTTTGCTTATTATATTCGATTTTTATCCTGTCATTACTTAGCAGAGCTGGAAGGGACCTTGTAGGTCTTCTAGTTTGACTCCCTGCTCAGGCAGGAAACCTGTACCATTGTGGACAAATGCACAGCTATAATATAGATGGTACTTGGCTCAACTATGAGAGGAATCTTGGGAGTCCTAGTGGACAATCATTTAAACATGAGCCAGCAGAGTGAGGCAGAAACCACACAGCCCTAGTCTGCATTAATAGAGGGATAGAATCAAGATCATGTGACTTGCTAATACCACTTTATAATGCCTTGGTAAGACCACACTTGGAATATTGCATCCACTTTTGGTCGCTATGATGTAAAAAAAGATGTCGAGGCTCTAGAAAGAGTGCAGAGAAGAGCGACAAAGACAATTAGGGGACTGGAGACTAAAACATGAAGAACGGTTGCAGGAATTGGGCATATCTACTTTGATGAAAAGAAGGACTGGGGTGACATGATAGCAGTGTTCCAATATCTCAGGGGCTGCCACAAAGAAGAGGGAATCAAGCTATTCTCCAATGCACCTGAGGGTAGGACAAGAAGCAGTGGGTGGAAACTAATCAAGGAGAACTGAGGAGAAAATTCCTGATAGTTAGAACAATTTATCCGTGGAATAACTTTCTTCCCGAAGTTATGGGTGCTTCAACACTAGAAGTTTTCATACACAATATTCCTTCTCCTCCTACTTCCCCCATAGCAATTACGCAGTGAGGTTGTTTGGGCTGAGAGAGAGTAAAAGTCACCCAGCTAACTTGCATCCCTCAGATGGCAGGAGAACTGGTCTTCTGCTTCTAGGCAAGCACCTTAACCGTTACTATACAGTACACACCAAACTGACTTTCAAACAAACAGACTTTGAGGAAAACTACCATGTTTCTCCAACAATACGGCCTCCCCCAATAGGAAGTCCCAGCATGCTTTATAGGCATAAAATCAAATTAAGCCCCTCCCCCCAAATTAAGGCCTGTATTAAACATGCGAAATGGGGGGGAATGGCGGGGGGGCTGGCCATTAGGAAGTACTTTTGTTGCATACCCGGATATGGTGCTGCCTGCGTTGACCTCAGCGTTGGTGGGGCACTTCATATCAGGAGACCTTCCGCCACTGTTGGTTTCCCTTCTCCCCGTGCTGCCGCGGCGTTTAAAACAACGCCACGGCGTTTGGCACAGCCACGCGTGGCCAGCCAGGGCTCCTCCCTGAAACTGGAGCCCGACGGAGACACTCAGCTTCAGGCACTCCTGTTGCTGCCTTCGCCTTCGAAGGCAAAGCCAATTCTTTTAAAAATGACATCCTACTACCAGTACAACAAAGACTCCCCTGCCTATTTGTAGATAGCAAATAAATGTGTCACTGATGAGTCATAAACATTAACATTCATGCCTTGAGCACTACTAAAACTAAGTTGGCATCATCCTGAGTCCACCTCTCCTCGTTTGAAAAATGTGTAAGTCTGGTAGCAAGTACTGATACATAGTCAAGGTCTTTTTGTAGACTATTGCCCCCCCCTCCCCCCCCTCGGTGTATGCCTTCATCGTGTCCCACAGGGTTTGCAATGATGTATATTATTTTTTGTTTTTATCAAAAAATAGTGTCAATTCATTAGAAAGTTTTTGAATATATTGTTCCTCTAATAGTATCCGAGGGGTCAATGTCCATCTTTTTCTTTTCTTTTTCTGTCCTCTCCATATTACTTTAATGGGGAAACCTGTTCTCTTTAAAGAAAGTGTTTCTTTATTAAAATAGAAGCTGAGATCAGACTTTTCACTAGCTTGTGATATATTCTGCCATCTTGGTCATTAGTATGTTTTGCATTAAGGGACAATTTTGGATGTATCAGTCCTTATAGACACAAATATATCTCTGCTTTTAATTATTATACAGACAAGAGTTCATTAATTAGAAAAAGGAATAATCAGTATTTAATTCTGCATCTAATGAGCCCTGAATAAATAAGAATATATAATACCCTCTAATGACCTAAGTGCTAGAGCCCACTGTAACTACATAGCCAAAAAGGCGTTGAGTTGTTAACCTAATCTTACATAGCTTTTTCTCTGGTAATATTACACTAATAACTAGAGCATACAAAACATTTCAGCAAGAGTGGTCAATGTCTGGAATACTCTACCTGACTCTGTGGTTTCTTCCTCAAACCCCAAAAACTTTAACCTTAGACTGTCTACTGTTGACTTCACCCCTTTCCTAAGAGGTCTGTAGGGGGCGTGCATAAGCGCACCAACGTGCCTACAGTCCCTGTCCTATTGTTTCTTTTATTCTTTTTATTTTTCCTGTATGTATCCATGTATCCATAACTATGTTTTTACTTATACCTATTATCTTGTAAGCAATTGACAAAAATAAATAAATAAAATAAAAAACATCGCAAAAAGGAATAAGGAGACATGGGGCAACATAATACATTACAAGTAGAAATTGGAGATCTAGAAAAACAAATGCAAAAAAATCCGGGAAGCAATCAAATTAAAGAACAGTTGAATTTGGCCAAACACAAATTAAGCTTATTACAACAGGAGGACAACGCAAAGGTTTTCTGTCACCTACACAGTTGACTTGTGGTACTTATTATGGGTTATTCACTACAAAAATATAACATAGGTTAGCCTGTTTCTTCTGCCATGAATAATAGAATTATTATGGGAACTCCCTATGCCTTAAAGACATTGACTGAAGGATGCAAATCCTATTAGTTTCAGAAAATATACTGCTGGGAACTTTGAGATGTCTGTCTCAAAATAAATGTGTATTTCTACCTTCTGGCTGCTATATAATTTAGAACTTCCTTTCCTTAACAAACAAACTTCAGATTATCTATGAAATTATTTGCAAAGTACTTTAGTTTTACAACTCATGAGGAAACTATTACATCACATTTTATCTATAACATCTGATAGTTAGGATAGCAACAGGAGGAGGAGGAAGAGGGGTGGAGACAGGGGAATATTGTTAAAAGTGAAAGTGGACACTTACCTGCTTATCATTAACTGAAAATGTCTCAATTTCTTTCTTGGCCTCCAAGAGACGTTTCTGGAATTAAATAAGCACATCTTGGACTTGCGATTAAAATATTATGCTAAAGCATGGATCTCCAAACATGCTGGCTGGGGAATTCTGGGAGTTGAAGTTCAAAAGTCTTCAGTTGCCAAGTTTGAAGACCCCTGTGCTAAAGTATGGCATTATTTAAATTTTTATATTTTAAATTATTTTAAAAATTACCATCTAGCATTTAACAAATCTATACAACAGAGCCATGGTGGTGCAGTGGTTAGAGTGCAGTACTGCAGGCCAGTTCTGCTGCCTGCTGGCTGCCTGCAATTTGGCAGTTCAAATCTCATGAAGCTCAAGGTTGAATCAGCCTTCCATCCTTCCGAGATGGGTAAAATGAGGACCCAGATTGTTGAGGGCAATATACTAACTTTGTGAACTGCTTAGAGAGGCCTGTAAAGCACTGTAAAGTGGTATATGAGTCTAAACACTATTGCTATATATACATAATGTATTGCTCTATAACTATGTAGTTCTATAACTATGTAAGTAACTTCTTCAGCCAATTAGAACTAAATTAACCATTTAACTCCATTTTCAGAAGTTTGACTTGAGTTATGTCTCCATTCATGTGCAATACAAGCCCATCAATGTGTATTCAGAAGTTTCATTGTGTTCCATGAGACATATTAAGATGTACAGGTTTTGCAGTAGAATAACCTTTATTCTTAAGATCGCTACTTCCCAAGAAACAATCATTATCATAAGGTATCCACATGACACATCATTCCAATGACAACAGAAAGGTAGCAAAAATACAGGAAGTGGTAATTGTCCCTTTACTTATCATTAAGTCATTATTATAACTCATCCACATGTTCACGTTTGAGAAGGCACCTTCAGGGTAGGACAATGGACTTTGCACAAGGCGTGGTATGCTCTCAGCACTTCCTTAACTCAAATGTTTTCCTGGGGTCATGTGGCTACCTTCTTAGCCCAGGAAGAGATGCAGCTACTTTAAACAATGCCAAATAGGTCAGATGTACTGAGCATTCCTACTTTATTAGTCTGTAAATGGCACAATGTCACCAACACAGGACTATATGAAATCTATTAAGAGCTGGAATTCTAGCCAATACTGTTCAAAATTGTAAAAAAAAGTATTGTAACATCAAATACACACCAGTGCAGACAAAATTATTTTTGTATTTCATTTTAACGTTTTTAACTTAAAAATTAATATTTCATTTTCAGCTCTTAAATGGTTATATTTATTTATGCTTTTGTATTGTTGCTTGTTCTATTATTAGAGGTATGTTTTTAATTAAAATAAATGTGTGCTTCTTGATTCAATCATAAAATGCTGGAGATTGCAAATTTCAAAATAGAAAATTAAAAAGGTTTTTTAATATATAATGTACAGTAAGTATCTCCATACCAAACAGAGTCTACCTAATGTTTTCATTCAGCAGCTTCTTCCTACACTTTTTTTTCTAGCTGTTAATGAAAAGAAACAATGCCTCTATAGTGACAACTGCAGCAAGATCAACTGTTATGAGTCCTAGGCAGCCTTTGTTGAAGAGCTGGCCAAAAGGGAACATTGCCTTGACAACTTCACCTGAGCTTGTTTCTGAGGCCTATTTCTGTGAACATATTAGCTGCCTTGGTGTTGACTGAGATGAGGGATATGGCAACTACAGTACAAAAACTATGTTCTGGAATTGTGTAATTCTAGCCTAGAAATCAGAAGACTCTGAGTGCAACCGATAGTCCCATTCTAGGCATGAAAGTCAGCTTTGAGCCAGTCACTGGTCATTCTCTTAGTCCAATCTACCTCATGGGGTTGTTGTGGCGAAAATAGGAGAAAGGATTATTATATATGTTCACTACTACGAAGGCAGGATAAAAATCTAATAATCAATCAATCTTTGCCAGGAGGTTTCACTCTGCAAGGGGACATGGCCTTGGCTTTGGAACGGGTCACAATGTTCTTTGATGACTTACTATACAGAGACTAGATGCACTTATTCTGCCCACTCTATTGATATATTTCCATAGAGGTTGTTTGCTCATGCTGTTGTTCAACCTTGTAGAACTGTGGATACTTTCCAATAGGAATGGATACAATTTCTTTGAGTCTATGGCTAATGTCACTTTGTGCTTTGCAGCACCCTGAATGAGAAAGTCTTCTTAACGTACAGTAGAATTACAGAAGTAAAGTGGCTGATTTTGAATCATTTCACCCCCCTAAGTCTTGTGGGACTACAGTGAAAAACTGCAGTAGAAACCTACTGATCTCCATATGCAAAATAGAAGTTTGACAGTAGACAGTGGATTGGGACCAGGCACACATGAAAAAGTATACCAGCAGTACAAAAAACAGTAGCTCTGTGCCTTGTCCTCTGAATTGCTAAGTTCCATGTGCAAAGTTCCATGCACAAAGAAGTATAAGATATTGCTCTTTGTGCACTGAGAAACCATTCTATAATTAGCAATAGCACTTACTTATATACTGATTCGCAGTGGTTTACAGCCCTCTCTAAGCAGTTTATAGTGTTGCCCCCTGTTATTTGAATGGCTGACACCGATGTGATACTATCCTGATTTTCCTACATCTGACCAAAATTTACAAGAGTAATGTCTTTATTTAAAAAAAAAAAAACCATTAGAAATGCCACAAATTCAGCTATGGTTTGCTATTACTAATTTAATTTCTATTTTTTTCAGCCATCAGTGCTTGAATCCCAGAATGCATTTAATGAATGCCTTACAATCACTGTTGTTTAATAGCCTGTAATTAGCTTAAAACATGACAATTACTAAATAAACAAACTTAAAAATTTACCTCGTTTCTTGCAATGACTGTTACGAAAGCACCCTGCTTGAAGCATTCAATAGCAATGCTTTTCCCAATGCCACTGGAACCACCAGTTACCTTTAAGTAAAGAAGACATGGATTAAAGTCATGAAGTTAGTAATCTGTCATTGTATAGCTCTTAGAGATAAGAATTCCAAGTAGGGAGCCTCACACTTGCATCCACCAGCATTTTCCTTTCATATACAATGGGATATTTCTGGTCCATGACTAATACTATGAAGATGATAAACAATAACAGAAATGCTTGCAGGTTGTCCCCATGGATAATCAAGTTTATTTCAACGTATTTAATAGAATTGTGCATCTTAATCCACTATTAATATATCTGCATCCTAATCTACTATTCTGTTTATAAGTCATAATATGATATAGTCGGGGTATATTTGCACATCATTGCATTAAGGTATTTCTCTGTAACTATACTCACAACAAATTACAGATAGCAGATTGACATAAAGTTATGTCACCTCAAATTAGGAATCTAAAGTTCTTCTTTAAAATTTGTATTTATTGAGGATTTGATATAAAGTAAAAAAAGAAATCTAAATAAAAGTTCAGAAAATAAAAAAGAAGTGCAAGAAAATAAAAAGGGAAAGCGATAAAGTATGACTTTCAACCTTTTCTACAACACATATTAACAAACCTATGAACTACTCTCCCGCTCAACTCTACCAGAAAGCCCTTCAATCCCTTACAGGTAGATGCTGATTTTAAAACCACAATTGAACCCAAAATTTCTGTAGCTAAGGGAGACCATTAAGTGAGTTTTGCCCATTTTATACCCTTTCTTGCCACAGTTAAGTGAATAACTGCAGTTGTTAAGTTAGTAACACGGTTATTAAGTGAATTGACTTTGCTTGTCAAAAGGTAGCAAAGATGACCACATAATCCAGGACACTACAACCATCAAGAATGTGAACCAGTTTCTAAGCATATAAATTTTGATCACATAACCATGAGGATGCTGCAACTGTCGTAAGCATGAAAACAGCCCTCAGTCCCTTGTAACTTTGGTCACTAAACAAATGCTTGTAAATCTATACTATGTTTGGTTCAAGGTAGATTCAAGTCAATTAATATAATAGCTTACTAACTATAAATAAATATTCTAAAAGTAGGGAACAACTGGATATGTTTTCCTTCCTGTGGCATGCCTATCTTCCTGCTGACATACATCCTCTCTCTGAGATTATTTTTGAATACATACTTTATACTTGAAAACAATCTTACAGTCTAAAACCAATTAAAAATACCTCTAGAGACTAACCCCACCCCCCACTTTGTAAACAATATTGCACTATTTTAAAGATGAGATTATTTAAGCGTTATGTGCATCTTTATCATAAATTATTATTATTTAATTAAAAGTGTCATTATGTGCCTTTAATAATACATTTAAGTGTTATTACTTCGAACTGCTGCTTAGCAGTTAATTTTGCTATTCCTGAGAAATAGGATGCCAATCAGGACCACCATTTAATTGTCTAGAAGGCATATCTGCATATTTGTTGTGCAAATTCAAAAATCAGAAATGTTTAGTTCCTACCATGGCCGAAAAATTTATTGTGATTTATCTTTAAATGTTAAACCTACCTAAATGTAAAGTTATTCAATACAATTTTATAAATATGTTGTCTTACATTTTTCTTCTTGAAAGAACAATTATTTACAAGACCAAACAGAGGTTAAATGATTTCTTAATGCATCCAAAAGGGTACAAATTCTTATTCTGATTTTTTTTTTTTAAGGAAATGATGTAGGACAGATTAATAAAGGTTGATATTTCCTTTTAAAAATCTATACAGTTTGCAATTTGTATAATACTTTCATGTTAAATATACATTTAGCAGTACATTTTTCTCCATGTTATTTCTGAATATAAATTGGAAAAGATTTCATTTTCTGTACTTGTAAACTATGATGCAAAAATTGAACATTTTTTGAAAATTGTTTTTCAATTAAAATTAAGACAAAATAAACAAGGTGGCAACTTTAAAAAAATCAATGCCACATATTTTAAAATTAAAGGAACAAAAGCTCTGTTATAACATGGCAATTCTTTCTATAATGTCACAGAAATATAAACTCTCAATATCAAACTTTCAAGTTAGGCAACCTGTCATAAATTGAGGATTACCTGTATGCTAGGAAACTCTAAACTCTCTGTTATAAGGAGAGAAAATTACACAGGTTGCCTTGAGTTCCTGGAATAGACTGAGATATAAAAATAATAATAATAATAATCAGAAATAAAACCTCTGAGGGGTCCTTGGTCCTGTCTGAGCTTACTTGTTTTCTTGCAGATGTTTCATTATCCAAACTAGGTAACATCATCAGTGCTGGCCTAATAAAACCTCAATGGGTTATCAATCCATTGTACTGAAGACAATTCTATTAAGTAATTAACAGAAAAGGAAAACTGGAATCCCATACATCAATACAAATATATACAAGAATCCATCTGTGTACAGTTACCAAATTAAGAGAATTATCCCCCACTATACATCCTTTCCTGCCTACAGTTATTTTCCAAATTATCTATTAAATAATCCAGTTCAACAACAACAACAAAAATCCCAGGAGGGTAGATTTGAATTTTTAAAAAAGGAACAAAAGGCTTTTGGGGGGACGGGGGGTTAGTTGGAGAAATAAAGTTGGAACACAGTTACCTCATAAGGCAACACACTGATCAGCTTTTTATTTCTTAAAATTCGTTCTGCAGATGGCTATTCAGCCACCTACCAGTTTTCAGGACTCTTAAGAATATATTCTTAAGAATATTACTAGAATATATCCATTTTGATCCTGGCTTACAGAAACTTGTCCCAAAGGGCAACCCTAAGAAGGAATATTCAGAGTTGAACATTTCCTTTTCTCCATGAACTTTTGTAAGGCAAACAGGCAGACATTTCTTGCTATCCATAGAGTTAAATAATATCCCAAGCACTTAAAGATTTTGTTTATTTTCCGTTTGTTAAAATTATATGCTGCCCATCTCACTGTTGAGCAACTCTGGACAGGTTCAATAGATTTAATCACATACTGTACAATGAATGCAAATTAAAATCTGACAGCAAAACAATGACCACTTAGTGACTCATGGTTCCTTCATAAAAAACAACCACCAATAACACAAAGAAACACATGAATACCACATTGTATACAGTCTGGATTCATATTAACACAATAGTTTGGGAGATCTGATATTGTACAAGTAATTCTCGACTTACACCTGTTCATTTAGTGACTGTTCCAAATTACAACATCCCTGAAGAAAAATGACTTATGATGGTTCTCACACTTATGACCATTACAGTGATCCACCGTAATGACCCACTGGATCAGGTGATCAATATTTGGGCGTTTTGACAACAAGTATGTAAGGTTGCAGAGCTCCAGAATGCGGTGATGTGACCCCCATTTTCTACTTTCTCAGTCTGCTTCCAACAAGCAAAGTCAGTGGGGGAAGCCAGATTCGCTTAATGATTACTTGATTCACTTAAGAACTGCAGTGGTTCACAACTGTGGCCCAAAAAAAAAATGTGTAAAAGGGGACATGATTTACTTAATAACTGCCTTGCTTAACAATGGAAACTTTGGGCTCAATTGTCATAAGTTGAGGATTACCATTACGTCAGAATGAAATCCCTATGAAAAAAAATCTACAAACATTTTGTAATAATATCCAAGATTAATATAATGGACTTAAGTCTTTAAAGAACCTCATACTCAGACCAACTCTTAATGCCAATCTGATTTCTTGGTATTCTCAGTATTTATACCTAATAATCAGACAATTTATGCGATCAGCTAATTCTTGACCATTCTGTACATTGTTGTTACTTGTATTCACTAAGTTTTCTTCTAAGGTTTGAAACAGTGTCTGCATCTGGCCATCTTATTCCAAACATAAAAACTGACAAAGACTGTTCTCAACTGTCTGCCTAGTAGATCTTTTTAAAAAGCAAGTTATTTGGTGTGGGGTTGAGTTCTACGTTACTGTATACCTTCTTTTGCAAACTATATCCATCAGATAAATGCAAAAATATGTGTACATGTATTTTTGCATTACATGCATATTAATATGCTGATGAAGTTGCACGTTATAAGTTGGAAATCCAAACCAGTTTTTTAATTAAAAGCATAACAAAACCAAACGAACAAGACTCCATAGCACTAGTGGCTTTCAGTATAAAACATGCTTGGTTTTCATGAGAACTTGACTTCAGTGAATATATTACATAAAATTCTAGTAACCAAACTGAACTGAAACCTGAAAATTTTCACTTATTCCTGCTTTTTGCTTTTCTTATAAGTTTCAAATAAATGAAGAAATTAATTACCATGTAAGCTGAACTACAACATGGAGAATATTACTAGAGGAACAGAGCTAAAGATTGCATTCTATCATCTAATCTCCTACTGTGAGAACAAACTTGGCACATCCACAGCCCAAATGGTATCATTTAACAGCAAACTTCTTAATAACCCAAGAAAAGGGATTTGCATTGTGCTCACAGATGTCATATATTATCCTAATTGTTTAAAAATATATAGATTTTTAATAAAATGGCCAAAATCTTGTTAATTTTGATTACCTTTGAATGTTAATTTTCTTTTAAGGGACATCCATGTTATTGCATAACTTTATGTAATGATTTGAGAATTTGAGTATGAGTTACTATTGCATTTGTTCATTCCTTGCTTTAGTTTAAAAAATAACTTATTTTGAGGAAATGGAATTAGGGGGTTGTTCGCTATCAAGTATCTGTTGTTTTAAGGTAATCTTTATATATACAAAACAAGAAAATCCATTTTGATTCCATCACACCTCCTTAGAGAAATAATAAAGTGGGTGTTACTGGTAAGAGTGTTGGTGTATGTCCATGTGGAAGTGTTGGTGTATGTCCAAGTGGTTTCAGATACTTACTATAAAAATATATTAAATGTCTACTAAATGTGGCAAATCAATGCAATAAGTATAAAGAATAGAATGCGAGAACAGAAATAAAATTGCAACATGAACTCTTGCAAGGATTTACCTCATTTATACCCATTGCTGTAGATTCTGACTTTTGTTTAGCTTATGGACATCATGTCTGAAAAACCGAAATTTTACGGTGCACTTTGAAAACTTTCTGAACCTATTAGAAATACCTGCTCTGCTTTATATACTACATTCACATAAATAAAAAGCCTACACATGCTGTTAAAACATGAATAATAAGTTTTTATACAGGTCCTTATCATTATGCATCCTTAGTATTCAGATTTCTCAAGTCTAAACATTTCACTTCTGTGATCTTTCCTCCAATCCACATATACATAAACATATCCAGGAAAAGGAGAAAGTAAAAATATATCTGAGAAAAGACTTTTGTATACTAAGATCTCATAAACTGCCTACACTAATACAGGTATTTTGTTTTGTGTTGTTCGGATGCATACACAATCCAGGAGAGTATCCTTGATTGTGGCAGGGAAAAATTCAATAAATTAATAAATTAACCTGTGGGAGGCAGATTCATGTGGAGGTCTAGACCATTCAGGTATTATTCCTCCTCACTTATATTACGTTTTAAATTTATTTAGGCCTCCCATAGAATAGTTGTATATAAAGTAGATTCTTCAACATGGTACCCTCCAGATATGCTGAGATTTCAAACTTCTGGTCAGCAAAGCAGTGCACCCACTTCTTTATGAAAAAGATTGTACAATAATATTGTTTATAAGACCCCCCCCCACTCCCCCAGTCCTTATTCAATTAAAAAAAGAAATGGTGAAGAGAAAAATGGTAAATGTCTACACAGGCCTGCAACATAAATTCACCCCAAGAATCAGACCTGGTAAAATAATCACAAAGTGTCCATGCAGCTTTGGCAAGTATAAGTCATTTGAAGTTCAACACCCACTTGTGACCTAATAAGATTAATTTGTTTTAAAGCATGTGTGACACTGTATTTAAGCTCACTGTTCAATATTAACATCTATACAGCTAAGGAATGCTTGGTTAGGATTTACAGCTTGCATTTCCTTCACAAAAGGCTTCCTTAATAATAAAAAAATAGCTCTTACAATTCTGAGTATTTATTACTGTAAAGTGAAAAGTTACAGAACGTAAAAGTGGGGACTCTTGAAAGAGGGGAGAGAGAATCAGAAAGACTCTGAAAACACATCAACATCCTTTTTCATTTCCAAATCGGTTCAATTCCCCCCCCCCCTTAAGAATTGAATTCAAGGAATACCTGCAGTATTTCGCTTTAGGCTAAAAATATATCATTCACACCCTTCTCGACTTAATAAGTAAACCCAAACCATTCCAGAAACTATTTTTTGGAAGGCTAAATCTTGAAACCGATACTCACACCATAGGATTGTGGGCAGAGTTAAAACACAAAGAATAAGTAGGCATCTAATTCAGTAACCCAGGCTGGGGAGGGTAAGGAAAGAGAAGCGGGAAAAGGAAGCAGAGGGATTTAAGTCTCTGCCAGCAGAACCGCAAAATGTCATCTTTTCTTACCAGCCTCCCTTTTCCCTCCCCAAGTCCCCAAGTCATGCCGTCATCTCGGCTAGATTCTCTCACCACAACGTGAGCCCCGGACAACGACATTGGTTTGGGGTGGTTGAGCGGGGACACTAAGTAGAGCAGCAGCAGAAAGACCACGAAAGCGACCCCCATGCCCGCCACCAGGAGGACGGCGACCGACATCACTGCGCCCCGAACACCGCAGACTTGGCTGAAGCACGTCGCCAAAAAGAGCCGGGTCTCTACAACCCCGACACCGTGCCTCAAAGGTCCCGGTCCACCGAGTGATCCGGTTCAGCCAACCAAGGCTCCTTTGTCAAGGGAACAAACCCTGGGACGAGGCGGGGGGGGGGGGCAGGGAGAAAAACTAGAGCTGCTCTCTCATTGGGAAGGAGACCGAAAGGAAGATCTGATTGGCTGTGTTTGTGGCGGCGGGAGGGGGGCGAGAAATAGGAACGGAACGCGATGACATATCCGCACGACGATTGGCGGACCTAACGAACTCGAAGGAGGCCGGGCTTGGGAAGGATTGGCGCGAGCGCGAGTGCGGGCGGGATGGAAGAAGACGGCGGCGGCAAGCGCCGCTGGAGTAGGTGGAGGAGAGGAGAAACGGCTAGAGAAAACCCGGCGACAGTGGCGCAGCCGAGCTTCAACATTGCAAATAGGGCGACGAAGCGACCCCTCGTCCTTTCTGTGCCTAAAAAAACAAAACATTCCTCCAAAACGAGACCCAATTTACAAATGCAAATATGCTCATAAGATCGTTGCTTTAAATAACACCACAAAACATTTTCCTCAAAGTGCTTTTTTTTTTCCAGGAGGCAACTGGACTTTCTTGGGTTTTTTTTTTTTTCCTTTGAGGACGTTTGGCTTCTCGTCCAAGAAACTTCTTCAGCTCTGACTGGATGGTGGGGAATGGAAGGATTTATTATTCCTTGCAGACAGCTGGTTAGAGCTGAAGAAAGCCAGTGCAGAAATACAAGAGATGATAATTTTGATGAAAATGTGGTCATCAATAATAAGGTAACGGAATGAAACAATACAATGTTGAATTGTCCCACAGTTAGTTGTCCTAGACCCACAGATATGGGTCTGTCTTGCAAATACAGATTCAGGAGGAAGCCATGACTATTGTTGAGGAAGGATAGGATATGCAATCCGTAAATAAATAAAAGGTGGAAATAATCCAAATGTCTTAAATATTGTACTTGCTTTGCCCTAGATGAAATATCAACCACTTACAATATTTATTGAAATAAGTCTGGTATGTGCCTAAGAAATCCAGTTTCACAAGCCTATATTCTCTATGACTCCATATTATTTTTGCCTTAGTGAACACATTTGGAATTTTGAAAACAAGTTGTGAGCATTCTTGCTAAATGACTCCTAGAGGCTAATTTGCTCAAATTATCTGCTAGAGGTTACAAACTTATACCAGAATTCTACTTCCTAGCCTCTTTCTACTACCCAGGTTTAAGCTTTGTATTTCTAGATAAGGGGACAAACAAGCAAAAGAGCACCGTACTGTTACATGATTATTTATATGTATAAACATATTTATATTTTTATAAGTGTTATGATCTACAGTACTTGGAGGTGAAATGAATTGGAAATAAAAACCGTGTTGGTCACTTTCAGCATTGCAGGATTTTAGTTTGGGGAATGGGATTGGGGTGGGAAAAGTTATTTATGCCAGAAAGCCTGTCAGGAATCAAGGAAATATTAATATCCCCAGATGCTAAGTTGGGGGCCCGGTTCTAAAATTTCTCACATATTTTATGTTGTATGTACTAAAGGTAGCCCCTGACTTACAACCATTCATTTAGTGACCATTTGAAATTACAACAGCACTGAAAAAAGTGATGCACGACTATTTTAACACAACCCATGGGCATGTGATCAAAATTCAGATACTTGGCAACTGGCATGTATTTAGTATGGTAGCAGTGTGCTGGGATCATGTGATCAACTTTTGCAACCTTCTCACAAGCAAAGTCAATGGGGAAGCCAGATTCACTAAATAACTGTGTTGCTAACTTAACACCTGCAATGATTCACTTAACAATTGTGGCAAGGAAGGTGGTAAAATGGCGCAAAACTCAACAACTGTCTTGCTTAGCAATGTAAATTGTGGGCTCAAATGTGATTGTAGATTGCAGTGTTGTGTGTTAACATCTAAACAGCTTGATGGCTATTAATAATACTATAATCCCCTCATGAATACCCCCTGTTATGGCTGAGGGGCTTGCCATGCTTGGATAAGATTGACTGCTATGCTAGTCATAATGTATTTTACCAGAAGGGCCGTCCATGCCAGACAGGTGTCATCAGAAGTTTCAGATTGATTGTATCCATCAACCCATTTAATATAGTGAGAGAACAGAAGAAGCAACATACCTGATTAGTTGGCACCAAAATCAGCAAGGATGTTAGTTTCTGGGCACTTATCGATAAAAGGGACCCAGGACCTATGACTGGGCAACTAGGGCTTAACCCTGTAGGTTTACTGAAAGAATAACAAACACAGAAAGTATATGGTTTTTGAAAAATGCACCATTATGGCTTGTCAATATTAATTAACAACAAAGCAGAGTTACTTAAAGCAAATGTTAGGACTTTGGAAAAGAATTTATCCAAATTCAAACATCATTGAACAACAATTAGCAATTCAAAGTAAATACTGTGAGAAACAAAAAATATAGGCTATTGATCTATCAGTAAGACCTCTGGATGATAGTGGGCTCCAGAATAAAGAGACATGAACCAAAGTTTTAGATAAGAAGATTTCAAAATGTACCAGAACTATTTGTAATCCTGCTGAGGCATTGCTAATTGTGAAGCATGGTTTTGCAAGAATGTAGCTTCATGTTATTTATGCAAGAATGTATTTGAACATAGAAGGACAAAGCTACAAGAAATAAAGAACTGAAAGCAGCTGATGGATAGAGGTTTGAGATGTACACGGGTATATGTGGAAACTGTCAGTAAGAAAGAAGTTGTGAAATGAGTGCAGAAAAGTATAAAAAGAATGTCTTGGGGTGAGTTCGGTGCCACTAGCTGTAGCTATTCCTTGCTGGATCTAGCTCTCGACCTCATTACAATGGGTTATTGATGTAACTAATGTTATGGTGGCTCTTCATGTTTCAAATTGATCATGAAATAAACCTCTGAATCTTAAACTAAGAATTATTGTTTGTGGTTTGTCTTGTCTTCCTCTTTATTTTTATGACAATATATTACCAGAAATAAAATATTTAGGCATGCAGAACTAAAGAGATTCAGAAAAAATATAAAAGTGGAAGACCCCCAAACAATAGTAGAAATAGTAGAAGAAACTCAGATAAGTAATTTAAATATAAATAGTTGATATGAACAACAGAAATGATAACTTAGTAGAACTAATAACAACACAACTAGTATAAGCCAATAAGGAAACAACAGGCCTACTAATGAGAGCAGATGGCAGGAAAATCAAAGGTAGCAGAACTGCTTAATTCATTATTTGCATCTGTATTTATGCAAAAGGAAGAAAAAGCCCAACCTATCAAAAGCAGTATCGAGAGCTAGAACAAGTAAACAAGTCAAAATAGGCAAGGAATTAATAAGAGAATACCTATCCACCCTGGATGAATACAAATTACCTGAGCCAAATGGTTTACATCCCAGTTTTACATCTCAATATAAGTGGAGCTACAGAAGACATTTTTCATAGGAATACTTGGGGTTTAAATATAGTTTCAAAAACAGTCACTGCCCCTTTCTGGGTTCGCAATCTTTTTTTTAAATAAAAAGTTTTTTATTTTTATCACAACAACAAAAACAAACATAAAACCTTCTATCTGTTCCACAGTGTGTTAGTTGAGTACATATTTCTTCATGTACAAAATAATATCATACATATTTAACTTGCATATATTTATAATTGTTCTTGTCAATATTTTATATCACATTTGTCACTTATTCTATTATCCTTAACTTTTAAGTCCTTAACTTTCAATAATATATTTCAAGTTCATTTTCTTACTCTATCTAACTCATCTATTTATCAGTAACAATATGTTATACTATACTTTTATAATTCAATTCTTTATACTTCTATCCAAACATTCATAAAATAGATTCCAAATTTTATAATAGTCTTTTTCTTCTTGTTCTCTAATCACCATTGTTAATCTACTCATTTCTGCACATTCCATTATTTTCTTAATTATTTCCTCTTCTGTCGGAATTTTTTCATTTCTCCAATTTTGTGCAAATACAATCCTAGCTGCTGTTAAAATATTAATAAACAAATATGTTATTTCTTTGTTATAACTCTCAGGCAAAATTCCCAATAAAAATGTATTTGGTTTTAAGTCTATAGGTTGTTTTATCATCTTCTCCTCCAGCTTTGTTTTGAGTTCACCCTTTTCAATTAAAATTTCATCATATCTCTAATTATGTGTTCCTTTTTAAATAGCTGTGGATATGAAAAGGCTTCTAAAGTTGATAACCAGGCTGGTATTTTCAAATAATGATAGTCTCTTATCTTTTCCCATACTGCCAATAAAGCATCTCTAATATAATGTCTCCTAAAATATCCATGTGCCTTACTTTCTTTATACCATAAAAATGCATGTCAACTTAATTGTAAATCATGTCCTTCTAATGTTATTAATCCGGCATTTTTCAATACAATCCATTTCTTCACCCACATCAATATTGTTGCCTGATAGTATATGGGTTCACAATCTATCCAGCAACTCAATCTCCTTGATAGTTGCAAAATCCTACTATTATTAATTTTATCATGACAACTGGTTTCTGACCTGCCAACTATCTTCCTTTGATCTGCCAACTTAGTTGTTGACTTGCCAACTCCAGTAGGATCATCTAGATTACAACTGTCAAACTCACAGCCCGTGGGCCAGATGTTTACACGCGCCCTAACTGGAAATATGCTAAGTTTATTTAGCATTGTTTATTTCCTTTCAGCTGTGATGACGCGGGGCATGGCACAAGGACAACACAGTTTAATAAGCAAGAAGATTCCCTTTATTATCTCCAAATTTGCCCCCAATGTCCAGGTTACCTTCAGCTGGAGAAAAACTTCACAGGAACAGCCTTTAAATGGAGAAAATTCAGTCCAAAAACAAAGTACATACAAACTGTAACTAAAAATCCAAAAGTAATTAACTTGCAGTAATTAACTTGACAGGGCAGGAGAAGAAATTGCAGGCTTGAAAGCACAGCAAAACACACACAGTTGGGAAATTGCCAGGAACACAGATAAGCCTCGATGATACCAGATAAATTCATGATTTGTTCCCAACAGTTTGATGTGCACAACTTCCCT